CAGGGAGATTTGTGCACACAAGTCGATGATCGATTTGATAACCGTATCATTTGATTTCCGACGCTCGGTAGTGGATGTTCGGAGAGTTGTCAAATGATCACCGCCTTCTTTTTGACACGCTATATTGTGAGAGGAGGTTGAATACCATGCAAAGACCTGGTAGTAGAAGCAACCAGAGAATCAGATGGGAAGTTTTATTTTCGGCGGATACGAGAGCGAATCTTGCCAGCAACATCGCACAACGATTTGAACAGATTCCAGTGATGACTGACTGCTGATTTAAAAACCGAATGAAAGCACTTTAAAAGCGGCTGACTCAAGGCTGTCGCCGAATGCTGAGGCTTGAAACGGATTGAACTGCCGTCCTGCCTTCAGAAGCGAACACTAGAGACTCAGCTGGCGAGAGGAACGCTGCATTCAACAGCTGGCCTAGAACGTGAACGCTGTACGACAAAAGCGGCGAATGCAAAGTTGATTCTGGCAAAAGCTTGGTAAGGTGGAGTCGAATTTCCAGACGGCAAATAAGGTAGTATTCTGAAAAACCATCCGCTGCCTCTGCGATGTAGATAAAGTCCTGAAGGAAAACTCTGGATGCTTTCTCATTCAGGAAGAGGATATTCATCAGCGATGTAGAGTACACTTTGAGGTAATCCTTAAACCCAAGCTACCGCAAGAAGACTCGTCTGAAAAGCAGCGGGCAACTGATATTTGACTTTCAGTAGAGGAAGTTGCAAAAGCTGTGAAAAGCTTGAAAAAAAGCAAACCTGCTGAAATCAGTGAAACCGTTTAACAAAACCAATGGTCAATTTTATTGCTTGACAAAAGGGCAATTCGATATATGAGAACGACCAAGGTCCCAGATGAGTTCATTTCGTTGGAGCTCCATTTATAGCGACGGTTTTCTAGCTTCATTTGGAAATAGCTCTATTGGTGTTCAGACGTTGTCTGCTGCTCTTTATTTACCGATGCTTATGAAAATTTACTGCATAATAATTACAAAGCGCTGATGATCATATTTTACAGTGTTTAATTATTTTTAAGGTCAATTCGTCAAAGAACAGTGATATATGCGTATCTTCGACCCTTCTACACGAAAGTTACCCCAGACGAACGGTGACAGAAAAATCACCAGAAAATCGTAAGCAAATATTTTACAGTATATTGCTGTGAACTATATGTTTCCTATTAGGACTGTCAAAAGTCAAGCGTAAGAACAGTGCATTGTCTCAGAATCGCCGGACTTCTAAGAGAAGCTGCAGCCGAGGTGTTAACTCGACCCAGTTGAAGGAAGCCGTGATTGTCATGAACGATTCGATGCAGTTCATCCCCAAAATCCCTGAAGAAAGCAACACTTTGGTTTTGGACACTCCTTCGAAGGTAAAGCTTCACATCTTATTCTAAAAAGGCCATTACCATATTTTTCGTGAATTAGGAAGAAGCCTTTGCGGACTTCTCCTTCGTAACGGAGGAAACACTTTCTTGTGCAGCCACCATTGCTGTACCGAATCATGCGGTGAGTACGTTTAGAGATAAAGAAGTCTGCATGATTGCGTGAAGTTCCATTTATAAATTTAGACCGTTGCTTCTACGATCACTATGATCAATAAAACTTCTCCTGTGGTTGCCCCGCCATCAACTGGGCAGAAATCGACTGTGGCAAATAATCAGGCATGCGTCGTACTGAAAAGGTACGATATTAATAATTTTTGGAATAAGATTTGAAGTGAAAAACCTAAGCTTTGTGCAACAGTATTCTATATGACTTTTATCTAATGCTTCATTTGGTAGTGGCTTCTTTCTGAAACT